CAACTCAGAGACCCTTCCAATCCTTCAGGTCTCCCTCAGATTTTGTGGCTTGTTGCAAACCTCACTGGAGTCAGCATCTGGGTCGTGAGAGGTGAGAGTGGGGTAGAAGTGGTTGTAGCTGTTTGTCTAGACTCCTGGTTTTGATTTGGATGGGGGGGGGGTCGGTAGAAGTGGTGGTAGCTGTTTGTCTAGACTCCTGGTTTTGATTTGGATGGGGGCGGGAGACCTCCCAGGCCTCTTATTTAACTCCAGGCTGGTCTGAGAAGGCAGCCACATGTGCCCAAGAGAAAACCCTGCTCTGTGCTTGGAAGCTCCTACGTGATCAGGGGTTGTTGCAGCTAACACACCCGGTCTCTAGCTTAGAGAGCTGCATGGTTGCCTGTGCTTCAGAGTAGAGCCCTTCGAGTGGCTGCTTTCCTGCTCACTCTTCTTCCCTTGTATGCCACGCTCACAGGCCTTTTTGCTATTTGTTCTTTTCAGTGCATCTGAATAAATAAGATCCAACCCCAGGACCTTTGTTCTCATGCTTCCTTCTGAGTAGGAGCAAGTGTGTGACAGTGTTGGGGGAATGGTGGCATGGGAACCTGGGTGTGGGCTCTGTAGGGCCAGAATGGGGATCTATGAATATTAACCTGATTGAAGACACTGTATGAAGCATGGAATCGTGGCACACACCGCCTATCTAGCGGTAGTAGGTTCCCAAGTTTGGAACCAGTCTGGGATACATAGTGATGTCTGTCTGAAATTAGAAATGAATGGCCCAGCATGAGCAAGATCTAGGGTTTCATCCCTAGCACCTGTCCCCCCCAACACACACAATAGAGGATTTTCTCTTCAAGTGGGAGCCACCGAGGGTTCCGAGGGGAGGTGATCAGGCCCAGGTGTCCAGAACCGGGGTGCACACAGATGCTACTTACTGGATCAGCTATGATAAAAGGAGAATGTGCGCTGTGTCACTGTGCACTACCGTGGGTCCTCCCTAGTACCTGGGAGCTTTAGGACCAGTCTAGGCTAAAACAGACAGTAGCCTCCTCTCTCCACTGTAGGTGGTCATGGGGGCTGTCGGATTGCGCACGCTACAGCTGCTGCTTCTGATGGGCGCTTGGCGGGCACGTGGAGGTGCCTCGCGATGCCGCGTCACGCTGGTATTGTCCCCGCAGAAGGCGACTGGCTCAGTCTGCGGGACCTCCGACGCCTTCCACAATGGCGAGCTGGCTGCGCTGCGCTTGCGCATAGGCCGCCACGAGGAGATGCTGCGCAGGCTACAAAGGCGCGCGGCCGAAGGAAGTGCGCTCGAGGGCGAAGTGCGCGCGCTGCGTGAGCTTATCCACGGCCTGAACAAGCGCCTGGGTCAGCTGCGCACGCAATTGCAGTCGGAGTCGGGGGCGGAGCCTGATCCGGAGGCGGAGCCTGGTACCGCGCTCAGTCTGCTTGTGGAGCGCGCGCTGTACGCCGAGGCCGAGGCGCGCCGAACGGCAGAGCGCCTGCAGCAGCTGGACGTACAGCTCCGTGAGCATGCGCAGCTCGTGAGCCAGCATAACCACCTCCTGGGTCGCCTGCAGCGCGCGTGCGCGGCCCCGGACCAGGGCCAGCAGCAGGTACCTACGCTGGGCAATACCAGATCCCAAATCTGAAACGGTGCCTGTGGCGCCACCCACTGCTCATCCGGGTTAACTGCTCCACAGAACATTCACAGGCGCCCAGGCTCTCTATCGCCACACCAAGGACATTCTTTTTATTTTATTTTATTTATTTATTTATTTTTTTAATTTCAAGGCAGGGTTTCCCTGCATACCTTTTCCTGTCTGTTCTGCAACTCGCTCTGTAGGTCAAGCTGGTTCTTCGATCTTGTTTTTAAAGAATTTCATTCTAATTGTGTGTGAATTTTGTCTGCACACATGTATGTGCAGTATCCAGATAGGCCAGAAGCCATCTGGAACTGGAATTACAGACAGCTGTGAGCCACCATGTGGGTGCTGGGAATTGAACCTGGGTCCTCTGGAAGAGCAAGTCAGTGCTCTTAATTGCTTATGAACTTTGGGCTATTTCTGTCATCAGCTTTTTTTTTTTTCCTCTTTCTTTCTTTCTAAATTGAGACAGGGCCCGGTGTAGCCCAGACTTGGTTCTAAATCCTTGATTCTCATGCTCTGCTTCCTAAGTACTGGGATGACGAACATTTGACAGCAGGCCTGGCTTGGACTGTTGATTTTCATTGCTGTCAACAGAGACAGCTGCTGTACTGCTGAACTATACCCATGTTGGCCCTAGATTCTGGATTGGTGGTGGTTCTGCAGATTTTCCTACATCATGCAAGGTCCATGTGCCCCACTCAGCAGATAGGTGCAAGGAAGCTGTTAACCACAGAGTGGGAATCGACCTAGCTTTCTCTGAGTGCTAAAGCACAGAGGAAGGCAGGTGTGGGACACCTGAGATCCCCAGGACAGGAGGCAGAGGCTGGAGGGTTGTTGCAAGTTCCAGGCCAGCCAGTTGGAGAGAGACTCTGAAACAAAAAACAAAACACAATAAATAAAGCAGGGTTGGGAAGCAGTTTGGAAGAGTGCTTGCTGCGTGAACATGAGCACCTGAGCTCCAATCCCCAGCACCGCAGGGGATTGTATGTTTGTATGTACTGTAGTGATGTGGGTAGATAGAGGTTACTGGGACTTTTTAGCTGCCAGGCCAACTCAAACGAACAGGGAGAGCGATAGAGCAGGAAAGCCAATGCTCTCCATGCTTCAAATGTATACCCCACCAACAAAAAGCCCAGATTAGTCTTTTGGTAGGGTGGGAGGTAAAGCTGAGGCATTGCCTGCCTGATTTTCTGTTTATCTGATGGGAGATTTGATCTACTGACCCTGCCTGCCCCCCCATGCCAGGGGATGCCTGGCCTTCCCAGCTGAGGGGTTAATGTCATCATGTCTGACTGTATGGCCCTAGGTCCTGCCACTGCCTCTGGTGCCTTTGGTTCCTCTGAGTCTAGTGGGCAGTGCTGGCAACACCAGCAGGAGTCTGGACCAAATTCCAGAGCACCATAGAGATCAGAGCTCGAGACAGCAGGAGCCCCCATCTCCTCCCAAGCCTACTGGGCACCTTGCTGTTTCCACCAGACCAGTGGGTAAGTCAAGACAGGCATGCTGGGGAGTGTGTGGGGAGTGTGTGTGGGTGGGTAGATGGAAATACTAGAGTCAGGATTTGGCTCATAGTGTGGGGACTAGAGGAAGTGAGGCTCTTATTTTGATGAGGGGATAAAAAAGGACTGTTAATCTGTGAAAAGATCTGCAGTTGCATCATCAAGGCATGCAGTACCTTCTAACAGTACAGAAACAAATCTTTAAAAAAAATTTTTTTTTATGTGCATTGGTGTTTTGCCTGCATGTATGTCGGTGTGAGGGTATCCGATCTTGGAGTCACAGTTGGTAGCTGTCATGTGGATGCTGGAAATTGAACCACAATCCTCTGGAAGGGCAGTCAGTGCTCATAACCACTGAGCCATCTCTCCAGCCCTAACCAATCTTCTTTAATATAGTGAGAAAATAGGCATGGGGCATTCTTATTTTGATGAGGGCATGAACGATTAGTACTTGGTGAGAAGTTGGCTCATAGGATCATGTTTATTGAGAGAAGAGGAACTGGCAAGGAAATAGTCCTTCCTCAGATGGGGACAGAAGATGGCTTTTATTTGGGTAAGGGCACTGGTAAGAATCAGGACTCTGATCCAGTAAGGGCCTGGTTGGCTCATGCTGTACCTCAACACAGGCCCGTGGAGGGACTGTGCAGAGGCTCATGGGGCAGGTCACAGGCAGAGTGGAGTATATGAGCTTCGGCTGGGCCGACGGGTGCTACCCGTGTGGTGTGAACAGCAGCAGGAGGGTGGAGGCTGGACTGTCATCCAGCGGCGGCAAGATGGCTCCGTCAATTTCTTCACCAACTGGCAGCACTACAAGGTGGGTGCTTGAGGCAGGGATGATGGAGACTGGCCGGGCAGGGAGGACACCCTGTCCTGACCTCCTGTTCCTCCTTCCCTTCCAGGCAGGCTTTGGGCGGCCAGACGGGGAATACTGGCTTGGCTTGGAACCCGTGCATCAGGTGACCAGCCGTGGGGACCATGAGCTGCTGATACTCCTGGAGGATTGGGGAGGTCGTGGGGCACGAGCCCACTATGACAGTTTCTCCTTGGAACCTGAGAGTGACCACTACCGTCTGCGGCTTGGCCAGTATCACGGTGATGCTGGAGATTCCCTCTCTTGGCACAACGACAAACCGTTCAGCACCGTGGACAGGGATCGAGACGCCTATTCTGGTAAGGAGAGGTGGACAGCTAATGTGGTTTACAGGAGGTAGCACAGCAGGAACTCTTGCTCACACCCGCACTGGGTAGCTCTAGCCACAAGGGATCCAGTCCTTCTAGCCTCTGTGGACACATTAAAACTAAATGTAAAGTTTCCTTGGGGTGTGTTTGGTGTGGTGGCACAGGTTCTAGGAGAGGGAGGCCAGAGGGGCAGGGCTTCCAGGTCATCCTTGGGATAGCAAATTCAAGGTCAGCCTGGGCTACCGGATACCCTGTTTCAGAAAGAAATCCTCTCAGGTAAGTACTTCAGTGTAAGGAGATAAGGAGATGGCTGTGCTAAGTGGAGAAAAAGGGGGTGGGGCAGGGAGTCCCGAAACTTCTCTGATGATCTAGGCACCCTGCACTGTGAGAAGCAAAAGCTAAGCTTCTTTTGGTGGGGACAGAGCTGGGCTCTATCCTAGCTCAGGGTTGTTTATTTTTGAGATAGGATCTCACTATGGAGCCCAGAGTGGTCTGAAACTCCAGACCCTCTTCCTTCTGCCACCCACATATGGAGATTACCAGGTGTGTGCCAGTCCACCTTTAATAAACTGCCTAGAAAGGAAACAGAAAGCCCCCTTAAAGGAATGAATGATAGATTACTACTTTGCAGAAAATATGGGAAAGGCATGCCTCTTATTTTGGTAAAGAAATAGAGAATTAAGGCCATTACTCTGAAGAAGAAAATGAGAAGCTAGAGTCTTTTATTTTGGTGAGGAGATGGAGGATTAGGGTTTCTATTCAATAAGACACGGAAGGTTGAGGGATGCTTGCAAAAGCTTTGCACAAAGAAATGCTGATAGAGACTTTTATTTTGGTGGGAATACAAACTCTGTCTCTGCCCTCAGGTAATTGTGCCCTGTACCATCGTGGGGGCTGGTGGTACCATGCCTGTGCCCACTCTAATCTCAATGGTGTATGGTATCATGGAGGTCACTACCGGAGCCGCTACCAGGACGGGGTCTACTGGGCCGAGTTCCGCGGAGGAGCGTACTCTCTCAAGAAGGCTGTTATGCTGACCCGGCTTGTGCGGTTGTGACTGGCCCATGAGTACTCCCAAGAGTATTTCTAGTTCCTTGAACTGGTATCTTATAGCAACATGAGGTGTCCACACTCTGTGTCTGCCGTTCCTGTGTGTGTCTGGCCAGGGTCACTCTTGACACCCACCATCCTCCTCCTCCTCCTTTAAGTCTTCCAGGATGAGATGGTCCAGGTCATCCAAGAGGCCACCTTGGCTCAGGCATGTGGCCACTGTGGAGCCGCTGCTGATGTGGGGGTTGCTGGGGTGCAGCACTCTGGGGAGGTGGTTCTGCTTACGGCTCTTGGGGTGGGCACAGGAAGTCCCAGGCACATGGGGCTCTAGGGGGAAGGAGAGTTGCTGAGGTGTGAGACTCTGGAGATAAGAGGGTCTGTCTGGGGCAGCCAGGCGTTGGTAGTGAATGCCTTTAATCCCAGTGCTCGGGAGGCAGAGGTAGGTGGATCTCTGTGAGTTTGAGACCAGCCTGGTCTACAAGAGCTAGTTCCAGGACAGGATCTAAAACTACACAGGGAAATCCTGTCTCAAAAAAACCACAAAAAAAAAAAAAAAAAAAAAAAACCCCAAAAAAAAGAGAGGGTCTGGGGCTCTGCAGGAACCCACCCACTGGAGCCAAATGACAAAGAAGTCAGAAGTCATAAAATTTACAGGTGTTGAAACTCTTTAGGAAGATGGGAACTTGTCCACAAAAAACAGACTCACGGGTTGTGGGGACCATGGACCTAACAGGCTGGACACTATGGAGCTGCTGGAAAATCCATAGGAGGAGTGGGGGAGCAGTCAGCTCCAGGGAGCCATGGAGGACTCAGGGAAGGAGGAAGCAGCCAGGGTTCAATACACAGGAGATACAGAATGTAGGGTATACACCGGGCCTCACCTCTGCGATTGTAGCAATCTGCAGCTGAGCAGGAGTGGGTGTGTGTGCTGCGCCGATCCAGGTCACGGTCCCAGCGTGGGGGCAGGATCCGAGTAGGGTACACGGGGAAGCCGCACCCGTAGCAGGGTGATGGGGACCCCATCTGTGCCCAGCCCCTGGGGGCCAGCAGGGCTGTGAGGGGCTGAGGGGGCAGCTGGGCCCCAGGGGACAGGAGGAGGGGACTAGGCTGGGGCTGGGTTGAGGATGGGCTGGGGTGGGTCAGGGCCCTCACCGGAAGTTGTGACGACACTTTGGGCAGTGGAACTCAGCCAGGCCCCACATCTTGTCAGCTGGCACTGGTTCATAACGCTTCCGACACTTGCGACACCTTGACACCTAAGAGCAGGGAAGGGCCAAGAGCTGTCAGTGCCAATGTGTAGGACTGAAACAGGTCTCACATAGCCTAGGCTAGCTTTGAACTCTTGATCCTCCTGCCTCCACCTCTTAAGTGCAGGGATGGAAGGCCTACACCACTGTACCTAGTATGTGGTGTTGGGGATGGAACTCAAGGCTTCATGAGTGCTATGCTATATCCATGCTAATGGAGCCACAGCCTCCGCCCTTATCAGAAGCATACTAATTATTAAGAGATTAGGAAGCCAAGCTGGATGTGGTGGTGCACACCTTTGAGCCTAGCACTTGGGCAGAGGCAGGTGGATCTTTTGAGTTTCAGGCTAGCCAGGACTACATGGAGAGACCCTGTCTAAAAGAAAAAGAAAAAAGAAAAGAAGTTAGGAAAACAGATTTGGGTTTGATTTCTGCCCCAGCTGTCAAAGCCAAGGGTTTGACTTCTCAAGTTCAAGGATGAATGGCCCTTCAAGGATGAAGTTGAGCTTGCCTAGCATGCATGAAGCCCTGCTTATGACCTGAGCCCCACATGAACCAGGTATGGAAGCAGGAGGATCAGGAGTTCAGTGTCATCCTCAGCTACATATGTATGAGTCTGAGACCAGCCTGGGCTACATGAGACCGTCTCAAAACACAAAAGGGGCTGGGGAGATGGTTCAATGGTTAAGAGCATTTGCTATACCTGCAGAGGACCCAGGTTCAGTTCTCAATACCAGGGTGGCACTGTGGTGCACTGACATACAAATGAGCAAAATACTAGTATGCATAAAATAAATACCCCCCCAAACTAAAAAATAAACACAAAATGGTGGGGGACTCAGTGAATAAAGTGCCTGCTCATGGGACTGAGTTCAAATCTATAGCACTCATTTAAGAGCCAGGCATGACTAAATGCACACAACCCCCTGGTGAGCCTCAGGGTGCAGTTTTTGAGACTCTGCCTCAAAAACATAAGGTGGAGGGCAATGGAGAAAGACCAAACTCTGGCCTCTACATGCATGCACACACACACACACACACACACACACACACACACACACACACACACACACACGAATGCGCACACACGCACACAGTTGATGACCTTCAGTCAGAAACATAATTTCTGGACACAGAGATCAGGAGTGGAGTATGGGAGGGAATCAAGTAGGTCTGGGGTAGCACCTCCTTTCTCTGGGGTACGCGGCGCCACCACACGTGGTCACAGGAAGAGCAGGCAAACTGTCGGTCCACTGCAGGGATGAGGTCATCTTGGGCTCTTTGGAACATTCGAAGATTTGCTTGTGTCAGGGGCAACAGAGAGGTGGCCACTGCCTGCAACATGGATGAATGGGGACAAAACAGGGTCACCTGTGCCTGTGGAGCCCACAGCAACCATCCTTACTCCTGTACCCCGGATAGTTGTCCACTCTGCATCTCCTCCTCTGTCCACACCTTGCCTCATCCAGCCACCAACACACCTGGATATCTCGGTCTTGCTTCATGTCCTCAGGTGGATCCTGAGGGAAGACACAGAAAAGGGAGTGCAGAAACTGGAAAGGCTCTAGGGGTGCTATACCTGTATTTAATGGGGGAAAAGCCCCTGTATGGGGCTCCTGAATGCATATGGGATCCTGGCTCTGTATAGGTACAGCAGAGATGAAACATTATTGCCTGTGTTGACAGCTCTTCAGTTCGTCACCAGACCTGGGTCTCAGCTACTTGGGAGGTTCACAAGTAATAGAAGGCTGGGGGCATGGATCAGCATTAGAGCCCATGCCTATGATGCATGAAGTCCCAAAGATCCTTAAGAAGTAGATATTTTGCTGGTCTCATTTCCCAGATGGCCCAGAATCTGAATTCACTCAGTGATCGTGGCCCATGGAACCCAGAGGCCTGGATGACCTTTCAATATGCAGAGACCACACATATGACACCTGGCCTCTGAAGCCACATCGCTTTAAAGATTAAAAAGTTTTAAAATGTGTATGTATGTGTTTCTCTGTGTACATGTACATATGTGCAGAGCCCATGGAGGCCAGAAGAGGGTGTCAGATACCTCTGAAACTGGAGTGGTTATGAACTGTCCCATGTTGGTGCTGGGAATGGAACTAGGGTCCCTTATGAGAGAAGCAAGTGCTCTTTAGCTGAGCTATCTCTCAGCTCCTTGGCCACATGGCTTTAAAAGGACCCACTTGGGGGCTTGTAGCCAGCTGGCTGCTCTATTGCTCCCAGATGAGGATGGTGGACAAGTCCCTCTCTTTTTGAGGGTCCTCACAGAGCCCATGCTTCATTGCAAGTGGTTAGAATTTGAATCCCTAAAGTCAAATGCTCGTCCCCAGACCCTGGGCTTTCTTGTGTAATAGGATTGTCTCCTAGGGACAGGAGAAAGGGGTATGAAATGAACCAGGAGGTCTGATCCTCAGGCTTTGTCCATAAAGGCTACTTCCTTCTATTATTATTATTTATTTTTTGTCATATTGCTTATAGACCTAAACCTAAAGAATATGATTTGTCAGATTCTTCTAGGTGCCCAGCATAGTGGTGCATGCCTTTGATTCCCAGCACTTGGGAGGCAGAGGCAGGTGGATCTCTTTGAGTTTAAAGCAATTTTGGCCTGTAAAGTGAGTTTCAGGACAGTTCAGGGCTACACAGTGAGACCCTGTCTCAAACAAAACAAAACAAAATAAAACTCTGGCACGCCTTTCAAGCAAGTTCAACACACAGGGTACAGCCACGGAAGAGAGTGTATGAATTCAGCTGTCCATTCATTCCTTCTCCTCCATCGGGACCTCTTTCCTGCCCAGGCCAGAGTAGAGTTTCCTTGAGCCTTCCTCAACAGCCACAACCTCCTTATTCTACTGTCCTGCCTCCTCCATTTTAGGTAATCAGCAGGTAATGAGCACCTACTGTTTGCTGGCTGCTTGGGACAAGGAAGGAACCTAGATAGCAAGGTGGGTTGTCACAGCAGTGGTTTGTTCCTTCTGCCAGAGATAAAAGGGATTCTCCCCTTTCTTTGAGGAGAGAGGGAGTTCAGGTTACCTGAGCGTCCAAATCGTTGCTCAGCTCTTGTCCATCTTTCTGTTTGACACCTAGTAGGGGAATATGGGAAGGGCTGTTGAAGGGTGTGTAGGAGTTCCAGGTGGTGGAGTGCCTACTGTCAAGGGGAGCCAGGGTAGCTACAACGACACAGCACACAGCGATTCTTAAACCACACCCACTCAGTACCCCCTGTGCTGACTCACCATACACGATAGAGCGCCCTACTCCGGTGTGGTCGCTGCCAAACTTCCTCATAAGAGCCCCCGCCTTCTTGGGGGACACTTTTCCATGAAACTTCTCCCGGAGGCGCCTGACGCTCTTCTCCAACTGGGATGGAGGGGAGGTGAACTCTGGTGTGGGGAGCGACGGGGGGGGGGGGGAGCAGCGCCCGCCTCTTCATTCTCCTGAACTTGACCCAGGCTTCTGCTTCGGGCCTCAGCATCCCCATCCCCCTTCCCTTTAAACCATTTCCTGGAAAAATCCAAAGTTCTCCACGCGCGCGCGCGCGCGCGCGCGTGTGTGTGTGTGTGTGTGTGAGAGAGAGAGAGAGAGAGAGAGAGAGAGAGAGAGAGAGAGAGCTGGGATGCAGGCCATATTACCCCCTTTCCTTCTAACCTTTGACCTTGCTGCCCTGCTGTGGTAGGGATGGAGCAGGGAAGCACGCCAGGGGGTCGAGGTGTCCCCGTAGCCCTCCCCGCCCGGCCTGTCGGTAGTGGCGCGACTATCCTACCTCCACGCCATCCTGAGCCATGGTGGCCGGTGCACACCTGGCCGCGCCCGGGTCCGGGCCCCGCAGGGCTGGGTGGTGCCGGCGCGGCTCCGCCTCCCTCGGTCCCCTCTTTCGGTTTCGTTTCTGCGCGAAGCTGGGGACTCCCCCCGAGACCCCGCCCTGGCCGTGCGGATGCGTGTCTTTTCGCGCGCCCCGGGGTGCTCCCGGGGTGGTGCTCCCGGCCTCGGTGCGCGCCTCCCCGCGTCCTGCGCAGTAGCGCGGCCGGGCTGGGGATGCAGCGCGGCCTCTGCAGTCGGTCACATGTCCCCACGCTGCGCGGGGTCCGCGTCTTCACGTCCCCCGTGGGGGCGGGGCCGCACGGCCCGGACGCGGGTCTTGGTGCTCCCAGGCTGCTCCTCCTACGCGGAACCCGAAGCTTCTTAAGACCCCAAGGAAACTTTGCTCTACTCAGAGGCTCCCATCCCTGCAGCATCTTTCCCTCTAGCTCCCCCAGTCTCAGTTTCCTCCTCTGTAAAATGGGCATGCAAGCCAGGCAGGGTGACACACACCGGTTATCTCAGTATTTGGAAGATAGGAGGAGCAAGTGGTCAAGGCTGTCCTGGGCTACAAGAACCCAAAAGAAAAGAAAAGAAAAAGAAAAAAGAAAAAGAAAGAAAGAAAAGAAAAGATCCCAGGACAAAACGAAAGCATTTTTTGGGGGACAACTTTTATGAACTTCTTGAGCAGAGAATAGGCCCCAGATTTAAGACGCCTGGGTTTTCCCCGGGGGTTCAAATGCTTTCCTTGCTGCGTGTGATCCTCTTTTTGCACCTTTGGGTACAGAGGTTGGGTTTCTCACTTTGATGCAAGAGCACCCAGATCCTTCACTAATCAGGGTGGATGCCAAAGGGCAGATAATGAAGGGTGTTTTTTTTTTTTTTTTTTTTTTTTTTTTTTGTTTGTTTTGAGAAATGGCTTTGGAGGCTGTTCTGGAACTAGCTCTTGTAGTCTCGAACTCACAGAGATCCGCCTGCCTCAGCTTCCCAAGTGTTGGGATTAAAGGCACCACCACAACCCTGCAGATAATAATGGTTTAATGAAGAACCTAAAACCTGAAAACCAACACCAGAAGGAAATGGAAACTGATCTCCCCACCCCTCCGCCCTTTTCTCAGGGCCCTGTAGTTTCCAAGTCTCCCTTAATCCAGGTTCCCCTGGACTTTGTATGTCACTGTGTCTTCCTACCTCTGCATTCTGAATTCTGGGGTCACAGATGTGTACCTAAGGTCTCAAAGTATAGATTGGGCTGACCTTGAATGTGTGGTCTGGTGGTCCTTCAGCCTCAGTCTCCCCATTACTGAGATTACAGATGTGAGCCTCCATGTTTGGTCTTCCAGGGAGACTTAATGGCATTTAGTACAATGTGGGACATAGATATTCACCAATCATTGGGAGACCTTTGGAGTGTCGTGTAGGTTGGAGGCAGAATGAGGGTGTGGAGAAGACAGACTCTGGGTCCCTAACACCGTTGTAGACTTCTGGCTCATGGGAATCCCACATTGCAAATCTAAAGGCTAATAATCATGTGGGTATCGTGTATGAGTCCCTGGTTTCCACCCAGGTCTGAAGGAACACCTCCACTTGGATAGGCATCAATAAATTATAGTGAAATATTACTGCTATTGTGGGAAAATGGCATAGAATTTTCCTCAGGAAATAGAATGCACATAACATCTGTCAATTGACTATTGGGAAGGAAACCAGCATGTTAATGAATGCCTGATTTGAGGGGTGGGGATGGTGGTGGTGCATGGCTTTAATCCCAGAACTCTGGAGGCAGAGGCAGGCAGATCTTCATGCGTTTGAGGCCAGTCTGGTCTACAGAGATAGTGCCAGGACAGCAAGGACTACACAAAGAAACACTGGCTTGAAAAAAAGAAAATATGAAGTATGACATTATGACTATGAGGCTTACGAGGTGAGGAGTAACCAAGGACAGATCTCTGAGAATTTCAGGTCAGCCTAGGGTCAGCCTGGTCTATAGAGTGAGTTTCAGGACAGCCAAGGCTACAAAAAGAAATCCTGACTTGAAAAACAAAAACAAAAAAGAAAAAAGAAACAAAGAAAAGAAAAAGAAACAATGCTTGATGCTTGCTTCTGTGTGCATTGTGGCATAGTTCATAAAAGCTGTGATTTGAAATCAACCTACATGCTCACTAATAGGAGAATGGATAAAGAAAATGTAGTTTGCACACACATGGAATATTACTTACCCATAAAAAAGAAGCCTTCTTATATGCTGTGATAGCGATAAGACTGGTGGACATTATATTAAGGTACATAAGCCATTCAACCTCAGTCAGTGGAGACTAAAGAAATTTATCTAGAAGCAGTAGCAGGTGGGAAGGTGGGAGGAATCCTGGTCAAGGGTTCAGTGTACAGTTAGAATGCAAGAGTAAATTCCATTGTGCTGACTACTGTTTCAAAACAGCTAGAAGATGCCTGAAGAAACATCTATGTTTGTTGTGAAGGCTACACTAATGCACCATTTCTATCATTAGTCCATGGTCACAGGTGGTAAAGTGTTACAATGTAGTCTCCCAAAAATGTGTAGTTATGTGTCAATAGAAATAAATATGGTGGTGCACATATTTGATCCCAGCATTTGGGAGGCAGAGGCAGGCTGATCTCCATGAGTTTGAGTCCAGCCTGGTCTACAGAAATAGTTCCAGTACAGCCAGGACTATACATTGAAACTCTGTTCTCTTGAAAAAAGAAAGGAAGAAAGAAAGAAAGGAAGAAAATAGCAAGTATGACATTCTGACTATGAGGCTTACTAGGTGAGGAGTAACAAAGGACAGATCTAATTTGTGTTCCCCTGAGAGCACAATAGATTTGGGAACTAGACACATGCCAGATGCACACATATTTGTGGTTTGGCTTTTGTCAGTCCTGCTATATCGAACTTTTTTCAGAATGCCTCTCCAGGTAGAGATGGAGGAGCCTGTTCAGGTCTGTGCTTGGGTGAGTCTGATGAACATAGAAACTGCAGGCTAGAACTGGGCTCAGTGGGGACAGTACATGGAGTCCTGGGTCCCATCTCAGCACTGAACTGGCTGAGGCGGTGGAGGGGGGAGCATTTAAAACTAGCCTGCTCAGTAAGAATCTTTTATCCTCAGGGAAGACAGGAGGAAGATGGAGGGATTAGGACCCTGTGACAACCCTTTTATGCTTTTCATGGATTGGTGTGTGGATTAATGGGTCATTTTATAGCAGGTGAGATATTTGAACCAATTGCTCTCTGACTTGTATGTGCTCTCTCTCTCTCTCCCTCCCTCCCTCCCTCCCTCCCTCCCTCCCTCCCTCCCTCCCTCTCTCTCTCTCTCTCTCTCTCTCTCTCTCTCTCTCTCTCTCTCTCTCTGGCTGGCTGTTTTGGAATTAGTTCTGTAGACCAGGCTGGCCTGGAACTCAAAGAGATCCACCTGCCTCTGCCTTCCAAGTGCTGGGATTAAATACATACTGCCCAGCTTTTGTTTTTATTTTGTTTTGTTTTTAAACATTGGGTGACTGTGTTGTGAGTGTGCCATGGCAGGAGTATGGGAGTCAGGAGAGAAAGAGAGAGAGAGAGAGAGAGAGAGAGAGAGAGAGAGAGAGAGAGAGAGAAATAGGCTACACAAGACTTTCTTACTCTATTCTCTGACACTGGGTGTCTTATGTTCTTTCTGCAGCCAGAAGATGACTAAGCTAAAAAGACCACAGGTTATTTTGGCATGGAAATTCTGATCCAAGTTCAAAGAGCAGGTGCCCATCTGGTTTTAACTCTCTGCTGGCTGTATTTCCTGGCAGTCAGGGCATCACACAGTCAGAGAAAAGAACACGTGAGAAGCTAGCAAGAGGGCTCAGCAGGTAAAATCCTCTGCTGACAAGCCTGAACACCTACATTTGATCCCTGAACCCCTTGTGGTAGGCGAAAACTGACTTCCCAAGTTTTCCATTGTCTGGATTTTAAAGGGATAGTTCTTTGAAGTGGTGATCTTTAAGGAGAGCCCCATGGATGGGCTGAGGAATATAGCTAGCAGAGGAACAGTGAGTGAGTGCAGAGGACAGTGAGTGAGTGCAGAGGACAGTGAGTGAGTGCAGAGGAACAGTGAGTGAGTGCAGAGGACAGTGAGTGAGTGCAGAGGACAGTGAGTGAGTGCAGAGGACAGTGAGTGAGTGCAGAGACAGTGAGTGAGTGCAGAGGACAGTGAGTGAGTGCACAGGACAGTGAGTGAATGCAGAGGACAGTGAGTGAGTGCAGAGGACAGTGAGTGAGTGCAGAGGACAGTGAGTGAGTGCAGAGGACAGTGAGTGAGTGCAGAGGACAGTGAGTGAGTGCAGAGGACAGTGAGTGAGTGCAGAGGACAGTGAGTGAGTGCAGAGGACAGTGAGTGAGTGCACAGGACAGTGAGTGAGTGCAGAGACAGTGAGTGAGTGCAGAGGACAGTGAGTGAGTGCACAGGACAGTGAGTGAGTGCAGAGGACAGTGAGTGAGTACAGAGACAGTGAGTGAGTGCAGAGACAGTGAGTGAGTGCAGAGACAATGAGTGAGTGCAGAGGACAGTGAGTGAGTGCAGAGACAGTGAGTGAGTGCAGAGACAGTGAGTGAGTGCAGAGACAGTGAGTGAGTGCACAGGATAGTGAGTGAGTGCACAGGACAGTGAGTGAGTGCAGAGGACAGTGAGTGAGTGCAGAGGACAGTGAGTGAGTGCAGAGACAGTGAGTGAGTGCACAGGACAGTGAGTGAGTGCACAGGACAGTGAGTGAGTGCAGAGACACAGTGAGTGAGTGCACAGAGGGATAGCAAGCCCCAAGGTTTGTGGTAGAAATCAGTATGTGTATTGGAAGGATACAAAGTAAGCCTAAGTCCAGATTGGTGTGAGACAGTGGCGTGTGTGACAGGCACTTCATACTTGACATTCATTTAAAGCTGGGTGTCATAGACTGTATTCTTTATTTAAGGTCATATCAACTGGCCAAGCCTTCTCAGAGATCCTCCCTCCTTCTCTGGTCTCAGGTCTCAGTATTAGAATCTGACCTGGGGTGGAGAGCTGGCTTGGTTTGATCACTTTGGCTGAGGGACCATGCTCACCGAAGCCATCCATGCTAGAGAGATGGACAATTAGTATTTTAATGAGATATTGGACTTTTCCTTCCCAGCATTCTCTTCACCAGTGCAGAAGCTTATGGACAGAAACCATGTAGGGTAGGGTAGTAAGTCTGTCTGCTTGTGGTGGTTTGAGTGAGGCTGGCTCCCATAGG